AGTATAAACTTGATGTCCTTTTTAAACAAATATTGTAATTTAATATTTGCTAACTTTGCCAATACCCAACATCCTTGTTTGCTTTTCTTGGGAGTCCGAACTTTTTTTTTTTTTATGTTTTTTAATGTTTATTTTTGAGAAAGAGAGACAGAGACAGAGTGCAAGCAGGGAAGGGACAGAGAGAGAGGGAGACACAGAATCTGAAGCAGGCTTCAAGCTGTCAGCACAAAGCCCAAACTCAGGAACCCACAAGATGATGACCTGAGCTGAAGTTGGACTCTTAACCAACTGAGCCACCCAGGCGCCCCGAACTTGTATTCTTGGTTTTGAGAATAAGGGAGTGGTAGGAAGAAGGTAGGTGATGAAGGAGATTGACACTGTGTACATTTTATATCACTTTGGAGCAGCAGAGGTATTACAGGTTAAAGTGGTTCAAACTCTGGCTTAAGAAGAGGATATAGAGAGCCAGAGGATAATTAAGCTCTAAAGGTATACTCTAGAAGGGGGTGGGGTTAACGCAAATTTAGGAAGTAAAAGTAAGTCCTTAAACAGTTTGAAGTAGCCTTTGTTGTCTGGTAGAGTGCCAACAGAGCTTAAATTTTTAATAGAAAAAGTGGTTTTGCCCTTTCTATTTTTGATTACATTTAAGTACCTTTGCAGATGTTTTCTGCAATTTATTGGGGAAAATTTTTTTAAAGATTTTATTTGCTAAAAGAAAGCAACCTGACTGAAGAAGCCAAATCTATAGACATTTAAAAATGTAAACTATGCGATAACTTGGTGACTACCAAATTGTAACTGACTTACCTTCTCGTTTCAGTACTTTATCTTTTCTCCAAGCTCCATTCTGGTGCCAACCAGGACCATTACACACCCCCAAGGGTATTTAATTCCTTTGCTGATGGGCCGTCCTGAAGTCTACAACCTTTAGATATACTGTCAGGACACCTACTATTGATTTGTCAGATATATTACACTGCTTATGTATTACCTTTTATTTATTTATTTATAGACAGAATAGAAGTTGTCAGGGTAGAAAATAACTTAAAAGATGAACATATAATTAGTAACTTCATTTGGTTAATAAAACTGTCCATATTTCAAACCTAGAGGACATTTCATTTTGTATATTCCTATATCATTTATCACTGATATAAAAAAAAAGTGAAAAAATCAGAAATAAAGATTTCATTGTTTGCATTTGGGTGATAGACTCAATATTTTTAATATATGGTAGGATGATTACCTTTTTTCATTTTTGAAGCTGAACTATTTGCAGGCTTCTCTGCTATATACGTGTTAGGTTTTGTTAAATTATTTAAAAATTTTATTGATATTGTATAGGTAATTGGGATCCTTTTATATGTTTACGAATTATATGAATCTGCATTCAGTTGCAGTAAATAGATCTGGCTATTTTAAGTATATTATAGGGATTTAGTATAGGGATTTGGTGCTTATAATATTGTCTAAAAGGCTGGAAGAGTGGACTTTAGCCTAGGCCATCAGAAATGAGTCCTAGGATAGTAGAGCAGAACTAGACTGCCAAGTGTCCACCCATCCGGTGGATGGAGAATCAAGACCCCAGGACTAGAATTATCAGTGTTGAGAATAGACTACCATAGCTACAGTGTAATCAGGAAGACACTGTAATACTCCACACCCTCAGAGCCAATGACTAAGCTCTAGAAAGCTGCTGCAGAAAACTCCTGTATTTAGTACCATGCTTGCCACCCAGAAAACAAAACAGCGGGAAGAAGGCTTTGGTTTTCCACACTCCACACTTGCATGTACCTAATTGGCAGAAATCATTTACCTCTAGAAGACTTAACTGCAAGGATATCTGGGAAATATAGTGTTTAACTTTTCAACATTTACAGTACAGAAAGTAAGCTTAAATAAATGGTGAGTACCTGTCGGCCTCATCCATGAATAGAGCACTACTATTATTTCAAATATTTTATGTATGTATTTAACTTCTATATATAATTTTTAAGACATTTATTTTTGAGAAAGAAAGGAAGAGTGTGCAAGTGGGGGAAGGGCAGAGAGAGAGAAGGAGACCCAATCCAAATTAGGCTCCAGGCTCTACACTGTCAGCATATTGACTGACATGGGGATTGAACTCAGGAGCTGCATGGGGCGCCTGGGTGGTTCAGTCAGTTAAGCGTCCGGCTTCGGCTCAGGTCATGATCTCACGGTTTGTGGGTTTGAGTCCTGCATCAGGCTCTGTGCTGACGGCTAGCTCAGAGCTTGGATCCTGTTTCAGATTCTGTATCTCCCTCTCTCTCTGACCCTCTCCTGCTCATGCTATCTCTGTCTGTCTGTCTGTCTGTCTGTCTCTCTCAGAAATAAGTAAAACATTAAAAAACATTTTTTTAAATGAACTCAGGAACTATGAGATCATAACCTGAGCCAAAGTAAGACACTTTACTGACCGAGCCACCCAGGGGCTCCTTCCTCAACATTTTTGTATTTCAGGTTTTCCTTTTTGGTGATTTTATTATTAGTTTTAAAAAATAATTTACTTTGGGGAGAGTGCAAGCAGGTGAGAGGCAATGAGAGGGAGACAGGATTGGAAGGGGGCTCTGAACTGACAGGCTGACATCAGTGAGCCTGATGTGGAGCTCGGACCCATAAACTGCAAGATCCTGATAGGAAGTCAGATGCTCAACTGGCTGAGCCACCCACTTGCCCCTTTTGTTATTTTTTTTATTCAGGTAGAGTTGACACACAATGTTACATTAGTTTCAGGTGTACAAGTGATTTGACAAGTTTATATGTTAAGCTCTGTTCACCACAAGTGTAGCTACCATCTGTCTTTTTACATCACTATTACAGTATCATTGATTGTATCCCTTATGCTGTGCCTTTTAACTCCTGTGACTTACTCATTTCATAACTGGAGGCCTGTATCTCCCTCTCCCCTCTACCCATTTTGTCCACCTTCCCTCCTCCTGCCCACTCTCCCCTCTGGCAATCATCATTTTGTTCTCTGTACTTATCGTTCTGATTTTGCTTTTTGTTTGTTTATTCATTTTTTTGAAGATTCCATTTATGAGGGAAATCGTATGGAATTTGTCTTCCTCAGTCTGACTTACTTCACTTAGCATCATAGTATAGGTCTATCCATGTCATGATTTCATCCTTTTTATGGCTGTGTAATATTCCATGTATGTATGTATATGTGTATATATACCACATTTCCCTTATTCGTTTTTCTGTTGATGGACATTTAGGTTACATCCACGTCTTGGCTTATTGTAAATTATGCTGCAATAAACACAGAGGTGCATAGAAATTTTCAAGTTAGTGTTACTGTTTTCCCTGGGTAAAAATTCAATAGTGGAATTATTGAATCATATGATATTTCTATTTTTAATTTTTTGAGGAACGTACATACTGTTTTTCCACAGTGGCTGCACCAGTTTGCATTCCTACCTACAGTGCACAAGGGCTCCTTTTTCTCCACATTCTCGCCAACTTTTTTTCTTGTCTTTTTGACAGGACAGGCATGAGATAATATCTTTTTGTGATTCTGATTTGCATTCCCATAATGATGAGTGATGTTGAACATTGTTTCGTGTGTCTGGTGGCCATCTGTATGTCTTCTTTGGGAAAATGTCTGTTCAGGTCCTCTGCCCATTTTTTAATTAGATTGTTGGGGTATTTTGATACTTACTTGTGTAAGTTTCGACAGTAACCCCTTATATGATGTGTCATTGGCTAATATCTTCTCTCATTCAATATAGGCTTTTTGTTCTATTGATAGTTTCCCTTGCAGTGCAAAAGTTTTGTGTGTGTGTGTGTGTGTGTGTGTGTGTGTGTGTGTGTGTGTGTAGTCCCAATAGTTTATTTTTGCTTTTGTTTCCCTTGCTTCAGGAGACACCTAGAAAAATGTTGATACGGCCGATGTCAGAGAAATTACTGCCTGTGTTTTCTTCTAGGATTTTTGTGGTTTTAAGACCCATGATCAGGTCTTTAATCCGTTTTGAGCTTGGTATTGGGTATACTTTTAGAAAGTAGGCCAGGGGTGGCTGGGTGGCTCAGTCGGTTAAGTGTCCGACTGCGGCTCAAATCATGATCTCACGGTTTGTGGGTTCGAGCCCCGTGTCAGGCTCTGTGCTGACAGCTAGCTCAGAGCCTGGAGCCTGTTTCAGATTCTGTGTCTCCCTCTTTCTCTGACTCTCCCCTGTTCATGCTGACTCTCTCTCTCAGAAATAAATAAAACATTAAAAAAATGAAAAAAAAATAGAGAGTAGGCCAGTTTCATTCTTTCACTATAGCTGTCCAGTTTTGGCAGCACCATTTATTGAAAAGACTGTCATTTCCCCATTGTATATTCATACTTCCTTTGTCGTAGATTAATTGACTATATTAGTTGACCATTGTAGGTTTATTTCTGGGGTCTCTGTTCTGTTCCAATAATGAATATTTTTTTCTATAAAATATAAATCAGGTGGTAGAGAATAATATTTCTCACATTCCTGTAGTTTTATAGAATTGAAAATTTAAATGTTTTCCTCCCTTATTTTCTTTGAGCATACAGTCTGTTTTAGCTCAGATCAGCTGAATACATGAAGGGAATGATATTTGCATTAAATCTGTGTTGAAGTATAATCATAATTTGTGCTTTCAAGTATTGTGGTTAAATTTTATTTTTTATTATCATTAAAAAATTGTTTTAATGTTTATTTTTGAGACAGAGTGTGAGCAACATTGGGACAGAGAGAGAGGGAGACATAGAATCTGCAGGCTCCAGGCTCAGGGCTGTTAGTACAGAGCCTGACACGGGGCTCAAACCCACAGACTGTGAGATCGTGACCTGGGCTGAAGTTGGTCACTTAACCAACTCAGTCACCCAGGCGTCCCTTTCACTGTTGATTCAAATGAGGATTAGGTGGTTTTGTATACTGATTGTACTGACTAAAACAGAATCATAGCTTCATATTTCCATTATAAGTAGTCTTTTCATACACGTTATAAAGATTGAATTGAATGTTCACTTCATCAGTACTTATACTAAAATTGGAATAATACAGAGAAAAGTAGCATGGCCTCTCTGCAAGGACAACATACAAATTTGTGTAGGGTTACATGTTTTCTTTAAGTTGTTAAAAAATTTTTATTTTTATTTATTTATTTTTGGGAGATGGGGTGTGAGTGGGAGATGGGCAGGGGGAAAGGAAGACAGAATCTTAAGCAGGCTCCATGGTCAGTGCAGAGCCCATTGCAGGGCTCGATCTTACAGTCATGATATCATGAGCTAGGTGAAATCAAGAGTCAGATGGATACTTAACTGACTGAGCCACTCAGGTGCCTCCCCCCCAAAACATTTTTTTAAAAGACTGAATAGGAATTCTTCACGAAGTATGGTCATTTTTTCCAGTTTCATTTCTACTGCAGCCCTTGGACAAATAGATTTGAACCTGTTTGCTCACCTGTAAAGGTCCTTAAGCTTCATTGTGAGTCACAATCTCCTGGAGATTTGTTTCCTCCTCTAGCAATTTGACAGGCTAGAGTAGACACTTACCTTACTTACTAATCAGATTTTAGTGATTTAGGTAGTTCATGGTGGGTAAGTCATTACATAGTGATAGAAATCTACTCCTCCCAATTCTTATCTGCATCTCTTGTAAGAACATCTTTTTGGCTCTAGTAAGTAACACCTTTGTAACATTTGCTAATTTCCTTTTAAAGAAAGTAGACTTGAGGGCGCCTAGGTGGCTCAGTCAGTTAAGTGGCCAACTCTTGATTGCTGCTCAGGTCATGATTTTGTGTTCGGGAGTTCAAGCCCCATGTCAGACTCTGCTGTTAGCACTGAGCTTGCTTCACATCCTCTGTCGCTGTCTTTCTGCCTCTCCCCTGCTTGCCCCTCCCCTCTCTCTCTCAAAAATAAGCATACATTTAAAAAAAGAGGAAGAAAGTTGCCTTAATCTCAGAGCTTCAGCTGGCAGCGTTATCTAGGTAGAATTAAACACATGTTCGCTATATGGCAGTTGAAACTAACTTGCGAACTAACTTTTTGGTGGAAATACAGTTTCCCTTTTAGAATAGCCTATCTGAGTAATCAAAATTGATCTATATAAAAATACTAATCGGGGCGCCCGGGTGGCTTAGTCGGTTAAGCGTCTGACTTTCGCTCAAGTCATGATCTCGCGGTTCGTGGGTTCGAGCCCTGCATCGGGCTCTGTGCTGACTGCCAGCTCAGAGCCTGGAGCCTGTTTCAGAGTCTGTGACTCCCTCTCTCTCTGACCCTCCCCTGCTCACACTATCTGTCTCTCTTCTAGAAATAAATAAAACATTTAAAAAAAAATTGAAGACATTTAAAAAATACTAAGTAGCTAGTTCATTTGGTACTTGAGTATGCCAAAAATTGTGAGGAAGGTATGTGAATGACTGAATTTTTGAAGTTTGATATCGAGGTAAGTGACAAGAGACAAGACTACAATGACAAAGCAATTATGAGGGAACCTGGAGGCATGGCTAAGGACCTTGAGTTTTACTATAAAGTGAGTGGAGGTGTCATGAAGATGTAAACAAGAGAAAGTTAGACTTGGAAAAAGCCACAAAAGACAATGCCAGAGTGAAATGAAGAGGCTGGTAAGAGAGAAGGGGGTAGAGGAATTCACAAAAGGTTTAGCTATAAATAATCCAAAGTTGTTCTTCATGGATTTGTCTATTCATTAAATCAATGGAGACCCCTGAAGTGGGTGAGGTTGATCATTCTAAGAGCTTTCAGCTCCATTTAGCTGATAGTTGCAGCTTAGGTATGAACCAAATGGCTAGTTTAAGAATATAAAGCATGACACTTCACCGACTAATACAGAGGTAAAAATTTTAATAAGAAATTTGGAGTATAATAAAATTACTGTTCTTTGGTAATAGGTACCAAAAATATGTACCATTAAAAATCAAAACAGGGGCGCCTGGGTGGCTTAGTCGGTTGAGCGTCCGGCTTTCGCTTAGGTCATGATCTCGCAGTTTGTGGGTTCGAGCCCCACATTGGGCTCTGTGCTGACTGCCAGCTCAGAGCCTGGAGGCTGTTTCAGTCTGTGACTCCCTCTATCTCTGACCCTCCCCTGCTCATGCTTTCTCTCTCTCTCTCCTAGAAATAAAAAAAAAAAAAAATCAGAATCAAAACAAAAAGGGGTGCTTGGCTGGCTCAATTGACTGGTAGAGCATGTGACACTTGATCTTGTGGTTGTAAGTTTGAGCCCCATATTGGGTATAGAGATTACTTAAAAATAAAATCTTCAAAAAATATAAAAACCTTCTTCCATGTAATATGGGTGAGATATTTCATACTACTGCCCACTCCCCCAAAATCTGGGTATAAAACTATTGTCAAGTCATGGTTCACACAGAGATTGGGCCAAGAGTGAATGCCAGGTGCTCTAAAACAGTGTTGGGTCAGGAACTAGATGCCAGACATCTGTCTTCTATCAGTCAGGATCAAAGTCAAGTCCTACCCACTAGATGACTTAACATGTTACATACAACCTAAGCAAAGATTGCCCTGTTGCCTCTTCAGCAAAATCTCAGTTATAAGCTTTTCTTTCTTACCTTCTCTTTTTTTTAATTAAAAAAATTTATATTTTATTTATTTCTGAGAGAGAGAGAGACAGCATAAACAGGGGAGGGCCAGAGAGAGAGAGAGATGCAGAATCTGAAACAGGCTTCAGGTTCTGAGCTAGCTGTCAGCACAGAACCCACTAGGGCTTGAACCCAAGAACTGTGAGACCATGACCTGAGCCAAAGTCAGACACTTAACCAACTGAGCCACCCAGGTGCCCTTTTTTCTCACCTTCTCAATAGCTGTAAAAGACACAGGCACTGGCAAAATGCCTTGTGCTCTTGATTGGTTTCTTTTTTTTTTTTTTTCTTAATGCTGGCTTGGCTTATTTCAAGTATCTTTGTAGGGGGAACTCCTGGGTGGCTCATTAGGTTAAGTTATCTGACTCTTGATTTCAGCTCGGGTCATGATCTCAAGGTTGCAAGGTTTGCCCCTCCACCACTCACGTTCGAGCTCTCTCAAAAACTAATCAGTCAATCAATAACAATCTTTTTAGACTCTCTTCCTTTCCTTGTCCTTAAATTTTCCACCAGACCTTCTCCTTTTCTCTCTGTTGGATCCAAAGAGTTCAGCCATTTTCTGAGCCTCCACAATTGAGTTTCTGCTGACTTTTTAATTTGTATCACAAACCCTGGGCCCTTATTCCCCGTTCCGTATTTTCAGATGCCTCCTCAATCCATTTGGTCGTCCTCAAGTATAATGTATCCCAACTTATATCTTCCTAGTGAATTAAATCTCTTTAATCCCATTTTTGGTTATCAGTTACTGAGGCTGATAAAATGACACACTCTAGGCTATGAATTCACTTCCCATTATTTGGTGTGCTATTCAATGATTTGGGTCCACAGAAAGGTGAACAATGTTAACTGATCATGTACCCAAAGAACAGAGGAGCCATCTTTTGTTCATTCCAAATTTCCTTTCTGTCCTTCCTGCCTGCCTGCCTTTCTAACTTAGAAGCCATTTGGGAGTGGAGTTGTTGAATATAAAAAATTATTAAATTTCAGATAATTAAGGATAGGACTATTAAATGGAATACTTATGAGGAATACTATCAGCTTTAGCTGCTACTGAATGTACTAATTAGAACCTTACAAATTCCAAAATATATTGACTAGTATACTATAGTTCAGTTTTTATGAATTGACTTCAGTTCTTAGGTCATGATTTCATGGTGGTAAGATCAATCCCTGAATCAGGCTCTGTGCTGGGTATGGACCCGCTTGAGATTGTCTCTCTTTGTATTTACATGCTTTGTAATAAAATTACCAAAATCAGTTTTGCCTTCTGTTTATCTGTCATAAATTAACAATAGACATTTTTCAGGGACGTCAGTAGAATTTCGTATAGATTCATGTTTGTTACCTTTCAGTGTGTAGTACCTTAATGGTATATACTTAGTGACAAGTGAGCTGATAGAATGTCACATAATTTATATATATTTACGTATAGGAGGTGTCCACAAAAAGGAAGTAAAACACATTTTTTCAAATAAACAGTAATTCAGAATTTAACCACGAAAATAAAAGTGGCACCAAAAATATTGCTATGAGATTAGTGTCTCAGATTCAGAATCATAGCCAGCAAGAACTGGAACAGTCTCCCTGAGAGTGGAGTTTGAGTAGGGGGAGGTGATGGGTTAAGGCCCCAAATGGGAAAAGCAGCTTCGGATGAGAAACCAGAGAGGGGTTCCTGGGACTCTGGATAGAGAATCATGGAATTAATGAACTGGGCACCGTGGATGCACAGAGTGAAAACCGTTCTGGTTGCTGGTAACAGAGACTGGACCTCGTCTGGCTTAAGCCACAAAAGACACCAAGAACTCCAGGGGTTCCTTTGACAGCTTCAGGCATGCCTGGATCTAGGTTCTCAGGGAACACCGCCTCTCTCCTTTGGTTTTACTCTCTGGTAGTCTTGCCCCGCGTTATGGCAGAGAGAGACTGCGCAGCTCTGGGCTCACAGCCTGGCAAATGTAACTCTGCCCGAAAAGGATCTCTTCTCAGTTCCCGCAAAAGCCCCAGGATGAACTGTGATTGGCCTGACTCAGGTGCCATGTCACTGCTGGACAAGCCAGGTCATCTACCACCACTGGAGCGAGGCGCTGGGGTTCTGTCACTGAAGACAGAAAACAGTCTGGGGTGGATCAAGAGCAAGAAAGGGGACACGGGGACAAGAAAAAAGATGAATAAACTCCTTTCAAATTTTGGCCGAGATTCATCCTGACAAACCAACAGCCAAATGTTTTCATGCCAAAAAGCTTCAGTTGCTTTTAATTCAGAATTTCTCAACTTTTGAAAACTTATCATTCCAAAAAAAAAAAATCATTCCTCTAAAGAGCCTTTCAGACATGTTTTTGCCTAATCACCTGCCCATGAGATTTTAATACCACAGACGTGCTCTATGTGTATTTACTATATGCATATTTGTGCTTTATATAAGAAGAGAAAGTGTAAAGCTCACTTTATTTAATGCAGGGTTAAGAACAACAAAATAAAATTTTAGTTAAATTGATAATCAGGGGCGTGTGGC